CTCATAGACAGCATATATTTGGGTCATGTTCTCTTATCTATTCAGCTAGCCTATGTTTTTATTGGAGCATTTAATCCGTTTATATTTAAGGTTATTATTGATAAGTACTTATCTATTGCCATTTTATTTCTTTATGCCTATGTTTCCCTTTCTCTCTATTTCATCATCTTTCTACAGCAGTACCTTTAACATTTCTTGCAATGCTGGTTTGGTGGTGATAAACTTTAGCCTTTTTTTTGTTTGGGAAGCTCTTTATTTCATCATCTATTTTGAATGATAGCCTTGCTGGATAGAGTAGTCTTGTTTCAGATCCTTGCTTTTCATTACCTTGAATACTTCATGCCATACCCTTCTGGCCTGTGGAGTTTCTGATGAGAAATCAGCCGACAGACTTATGGGAACTTCTCTGTAGGTAACAGATTGCTTTTCTCTTGCTGCCTTTAAGATTCTCTCTTTGTCTTGAATTTTTAGCATTTTAATTATGATATGTCTGGGTGCGGGCCTTTTTGGGTTCTTCTTGCCTGGGACTCCCTATGCCTTACGAACTTGTGTGTCTTTTTCCTTGACCAGGTTAGGGAAATTTTTTGCCATTATTTCTTCAAACAGGTTCTCTAACTCATGCTTACTTTCTACATCTTTGGGCATTCCTATGATGTGAATATTATTATGTTTCATGTTATCCCACAGCTTCCTCAAACTGTCCTCCTGTTTTTTAATTGTTTTGTCTTTTTGGTTCTCTAATTGAGTGATTTTTTCCTACCCTGTCTTCTAATTTGCTGATCTGATCCTCAGTTTCCCCTAATCTGCTGTTTATTTCTTCCAATGTATATTTTATTTATTCTGTGTCATTCTTAATTTCCTTCATAGTTTCCATTTCTTTTCTCATGCTGTTGAGCATCCTTATGATCAATATTCTGAACTCTCTTATAGATTGCTTATCTCCATTTCATTTACTCTTCTTCTGGAGAATTCTTTTGTTCTTTCCTTTGGGGCTTGTTTTTTTGTCTCCCCATTTTGGCTACCTGTTTGGATTTTTTTTATATATTAGGTAGATCTGCTAGGATGCCCAGTCTTTTGGATAGTCTGTGGTGCAGGCCAACGTCAGATGCTGTTTGTAACTGGTTTTGAGTACCCTGTTTGAAGCTTTCCACACTTGACAGCTTGTGGTTTCCTCTGCTGGGGCTGGATGCATTTGGAAAGGACCAGGATGCCCACAAAAGTCTACTTTTCCAACCCCTGGGCCCAGAAGCAAATCAGGCAAAGACTCAGAGCACCCAGAGACTGATTGTTATTTAGTCTCTTAATGAGCCTGAGACTGTAGAAACTCCATAAGGTGGGGTGAGAGGTTTTTAGTGGGTGGGGAGTTACTTCCTTCCACCCAGGCAAAAGCTGCGTGGATGGTAAATTTCTGCCTGAGAAAGATGTCCTCTGCAGTTTGGGGGAATGACTCAGCGCAGCAATCCAATTAGCTGCCTTCTAAGCTCTATTCCCCCAGCCAGCATCTCTGAATTCTCCTCACACAGCTCTAGCCCACTCTGCCCTCCCTCTGCCGGAGCCCAAGGTGAGTGACTGCTCACGAGACGTTGTGCGTTGGCTCTTTGGGAGAATGCCTCTCATTTCCAGGTGTTTCTCTCTGGCAGACAGAAATCCTGCTGCTTTTTCACAGCCAGATGTTATGTGGGCACCTTTCTCAGTTCTGGTGCTCTGAACTGGGAAGCTCAGCTTGGTGTTTAGGAAAACTCCTACAGCTGAGATACCCTCCGGAACTTCAGCTGCTGCTTGTAGGACCCTGGCCAGCCCTCTTGTGCCTCCTCTCTTCCTACGAGTCTCTATGCAGTCTCCACTTTACATCCTTGGTTATGAGGGTGCTCTCCAGCTAGTCTTCAGTTGATTATTCACAGTGGGTTTTCTATATTTTAGTTGTAATCTCAGTTTGGACCTGGGAGAGTGTCCACGTAGTTTCCACTCAATCTGCTCCATCTTGGAACTCTGTTTTATTTTTTTCTAAGGAATCTTTCTTTACCCCTTGTTTATGTAGATACTCTCTTAGCCCAGCCTGTATGGCTCGATGGTTGAGCATCCACCCATGAACCAAGAGTTCTCTGGTTCAATTCCCGGCCAGGGCACATGCCCAGTTTCGGGTTCAATCCCCAGTCAGTGGCATGTAGGAGGCAGCCAATTCATATTCCTCTCTCATCAATGTTTCTGTCTCTCTTTCTTTCTCCCTTTCTCAAATCAATAAAAACATATTTAAAACAAAACAGTTATCTAAAAAGAAAAGAAATTCTCATATTTTCTTCTAAGAGTTTTCAAGTTTTGCATTTTATATTGTCTTTAAGTTTCATAAAATTATTCTTTGTGTGTGGTTTGAGGATAGGGACCTATTTTTCCAATATGGATAACCAGTTATTCTAGTATCAGTAATTGAATAGTCTTTTCCTTCCTTACCTTTATTATATATCTAGGCTGCATATAATGAATTTGTTTCTGTGAGCTCTCTGTTATGTTTTTTAGGTAAATTTGTCTTTCTATATCAGCACCATATGTCTTTAGTTTCAGTAATAATTTTTAGGAGTTAAACAGATCTTGGATTAGTAACTGAAGGAGCCACAATATACTTTTTGATAATGAAGTATCATAAAAATATAAAAGTTTTTGATTCATTCATTCAACAAAATTTTGTTGAACACTTTCAGTATGCCAGGACCTGAGGACTTATGGGAAAATAAGGCAGACAAAATTTCTTTCTCTTATGGAATTTATGGATTAATGAAGGCAGATAATAAAAAATGACTTAGCCCAGCCGGGCGTGGCTCAGCGGTTGATTGTCGACCTAGAATCCAGGCAATCAGGGTTCGATTTCCGGTCAGGGCACATGCCCGGGTTGTGGGCTCGATCAGTGACTCTCTCATCATTGATGTTTCCATCTCTCTCTCGCCCTCTCCTTTCCTCTCTCTGAAATCAATAAAGATATATTTTAAAAAAATAAAAATAAAAAATGACTTAATTTCAGATAGTGATAAGAGCTATAGTAAAAATCATGTAAAGTGAAGAGTATAACTGTGGTGGAGTGGGCACTAATGGAAAATTAACCAAAATAATTGATACATTATACTGTATTAAAGTAGAAACTTATTTATCAAAAGGCACCATGAAGGGCTTTTCTGAAGAGATGACATTTGAACACAACAGCAAATGATGAGAGGGGTTAATAAGGAAAAGATTTGGGGTAGGAGTATTTCAGATAGAGGGAACAGAGGTATAAAGACCCAGATACTGGGGCAGGATGGTGTGTTTTGAGGAATACCAAGAAGGCCATTATTACTAGAGCCAAGGAAGTAAAGAGGAGAATGGTAGAGAATGAGGTTCAGAAAATAAGCAGGGGCCAGGCACTCTTGAATCTCTAGGCCATGGAATTATTGTAGGTACAATGAAGAGCCATTGAGGATATTTCTGCGTGATGCAAATCTGATTTATGATTTACAAAGGTTGCTTGGGCTTCCATGTAGAGAATGAACTTTATACAAACAAGGAGCAAGCCCTAAGTCTGGAGACAAGGTAGAAATCTGCTGCTGTGATCCAGTAGAAAGGTAGTAGTGGCTTGGAACCAGGGTGGTAGTTGTAGAAGTGGGGAGAAATAGAAGGACTCCAGATAAATTTTGAAATAGAGGTAAATGGGATGTGAAGTGTGAAAGAGAAAAATTGAATAATACATCTAAGGTTTTTGACCTGAGAACATGGGGGAGGGGAATAGTGATTCCACTAACAGAGTTAGGAGAGAGGCAGGTTTGGAGGATAAGCAGAATCAAGAATTATGTTCTGGATAAATTTGAGTTGCCTGTTAAAGAATAGAGGCAATTATAAGGCAGGCAATTGGGTATGTCAGTTTGAGTCTAGGAGAAGATATAAATTTAGGAGTCGTCAGCGAGTAGATTCTTTTTTAAATGGATTTGATGGGAAAATAACTTTTTTATGTCTTTACTTGGATGATAAATGAACATATTTCTGAATTTTTGCTTTGAAATTTAAGGAGCTAAAATATAATTTTGAAAACTTAGCACAATAGAAAACATGTCAAAGCAATTTGATTTAAAAAGATGATTGAAATGTGAACATGAAGTTCTGGTTATGTTAAAAATTAAATCTAGAGTGAAGACAATTATTCTCGTTCAAAATAAAACTAAAGCTTTTTTAGGCTGAAAGCACAAAAACATAAAAGGATGTGGAGATCCTAGGGCACTGTGGTGTTGGCCACGATTATTTGCCCTATTCCTTCATTGAGTATTTTTCTTTTTTCTGTTCTCTCTGAAACTGGGCATTGCTTTCCTCTATTCGTAGCTTGGCCAAGTGGGAGAATAGCAGCCTGAAACACTATTTAAAGTGGTTATTGGGGCAGCAAGCTTTTAAGAGCCAGACTTTGGAACCAAATCATCCTGAGTTAGAATCTTACCTCAATTACTTAGTCTGAGACAAGGCAATCTCTGAACCTCAAGTTTCCCATCTCTAAAACAGGAATTATACCTGCTGTCCATGAAAATTAGAGTAGAAATTCCAGTGAATGTAAAATATTATTTAATACTGCTACTAATTTGTATTTTTTCTGATTACTAATGAGGTTGAGTATCTTTTCATGTTTATTGACCATTTGTATTTCTTCTATGAAATGGCTGTCTTTTGCTTATTGTTCTATTGGTAAATTTATATAGAGAGTTAATATTAATAGCACAGTAAATCTTGGAGTACTTTTATTAGTTGAATATACATTTTCATTTTTATAATGTCTATAATTTTACTCACACATATGTATCAATTTTGGGAGGGTTGATAGCAAATTAAAAGAAAACAAAACAATTATGCAAACCTGTTAAAGTGTTGAGTTGATAAAATTACTATACCTGTTGAGGTGGGTTCAATCGTAGTTCTGTTATTAACTATGTCATTATGTAAATCTAGCACTGAAGTTCTAATTTTTTCCCTCTTTTTTCCTTGATATGTGGTAGCAAACAGTGAAGAATCTCAACTTCTGACACCAGGAAAGATGAGTCAGCGCCAAGGGAAAGAAGCTTCTCCAACTCTAACCAGAGATTTATATCAGCCATCTTTTAGTCCAGCAAGCCCTCATAGCCAGGGTAAGAGTTGTGGTTTTAATGTTTGTTTTAAGAGGAGAATGACGTTTTGGGTCTATTATAACTTTTTTCTTTTGAGCCCTTTGTCTTTATAGGGTTTTTTGTTTCTTTGTTCTGGTCACCCATACTACTCTTGAAATGAGTACATTTTCCTTTAGAGTCCTTTAATTCCATCATACTTTGTATACTGTTCTTCAAAGTATCGATTCTCCAACTTTTAGGTCTTATGACTGCTTTAGACTGGTAAAAATTATTGAAGACCCCAAAAAGCTTTTGTTTACAGGGGTTAACCTATTGATATTTATGGTATTGTAAATTAAAACTAAGAAATTTTTAAAATTGTTTATTATTTAGTTAGTATTAGAATAGTAAACCCATTACATGTGAATATGAATAACATGTTTTTATGAAAAGCAACTATGTGAGAAGAGTGGTATTCTTTTCCCACAGGGTTCTTCAACCTTGGCACTATTAATAATATCTTGGGTTGGATGATCTGTTATGTGAGCTGTCTTGTGCATTGTAGGCTGTTTTGCAGCATCACTGGCCTCTACCCACTAGATGGCAGTATCACTTTCCCCAGTTATGAGAACCAGAAATATCTCTAGATATGACCAAATATCCCTTGAGGGACAAAAATCGCCTTTGGTTGAGAACTATTTTACAGTTTTTGAAAATCCTTTTAATTTCTAGCTTTAAAAAAAGACACCTGAATTTTTATATCTGCTTCTGCAGTCAATCTGTTGTGATGTGATAATTTGATTGAAATACTGTGTGAAGACAATCTGGCCTCCCACATATGTGTCATTGGCAATAATAGCTTTTAGACATAATTGTGGACATTCTTCTTTTATACTGCATCAAAATTGACTAGTGGTAGTTTCTTAAATGTTCGTTGCAATATGGAATCTGAAACCATATCAGTAAGCTTTTCGTACTCTGTTGAATTAAAATCCATTGATGTATCTTGAACTTTTAGTGGCCCTTTACTCATACATGATTTTGAAACATTATGCACTAGTCATCTGGAAAATAGTTGGTCACTAAATTATGCAGATCTACCAAGTGTTGACACATTTTAAAATATAGTATAAAGAAGTGCTTTACACATACTTCTCGTTTTTCACATGGAATATTTAAACTACCTGTACTCAAGGTTTAAGATTAATAATTTTTACTTCTTCATCAAGGACATTTGTAAGTGAAACTGGCCAGTTACTGCAAGTTCTTGGCAGTGAAGAAATCAGTGACTACTACTACAGTTTGATGCCTCTGCCTTGATTTGTGCTGAAGTGCTAGCAGTTTTACCCAACATTGCTTTTGTACCATTAGTGGAAATAATCAATGCAATGAAAAAGTATTATGAAATAGTTTTAACCTCCTATACCCTCTAAAAGAGTCTTGGGGACCCTCAGGGATCATGGATCTCACTTTCTAATTCTTAATTGATAAGTTTTATGTATTGGATTTTACTCCTTAGCTAAAGTTCATTTAAACCAAATGCTTTGAACTCTCCTGTGGTACTACTGATAGCTATGGAGGAAAGATTTCTGCTTTTAAAACCAATAACTTAAGAACGTTATACTGTCTGTATAATTAGGTTTTGGTGGTGTTACTTTATGAATTATCCTTTGAAATAGGCTTTAGTTCTTTTTAAATGAGTATTAACTGGTAAATAGTAAGTTACATGATCATTTTTCTACTTTATTTCAGTGGAAAATGTTTTTCTAGTCAAGTGTTAGATCGAAACACTTTTATATAGCATTGTTAGAACTGGAAAAACTATACCACAAGATAAAAATGAATACTATATTAACATTTATTGCTTAGTTGTTGAATTTATTTTTGGAATGTTTGAATTTTTGTTCCCCCATTTTTTTTTTGAAGCCTGAAGATGCATATATGGTACACTGGTATAAATAAGTTTCAGTAAGACAAAATTCTGAAAGGATACAGCTTACCTGGTTTTTCCATTCTGTGTACTAGAATTTTGACTGTTTTAGATGTGGCTTTTCTGATTCATGTATCTGTACACTAGAATATTTGAAGGAATTCTTTAACTTGAAACTCAGTGAAGCAACAGAAGGGTTGGTTACTAATAATTTACCCTCATTTATCCAAGAACATTTTCAGGCACACAGGGAATTTGAGAGACTAGTACAATGAACACTAATATACCTATCATGTAGATTTAAGCATTTATTAACCCTTTGCTGTGTTTGTTTCATTTATTTAGGGGGGGCTGAAATATTTAGAGTAAATTATAGACCTCATGATGTTGTGCCCCAGACTACCTAATGCATCTCTTAAATTAGGACATTTTTATATTACAGTAAAAACTTTATTACATCTAACAAAATTAATAATTATTTAATATAATCTAACACCTAGTCCATATTCAAATGCTCCAGGTTGCCCCCTAATCTTTCTACTACAGGCTTGTTAAAACCAGGATCCAAGTAAGGTTCATACATTATACTTGGTTATTATGTCATTATATCTCCTTTAATCCCGAACAGTCTCCTTGTTTACTTTTATTTTCTATTGTGCCTTTTACTTTTTAAAGAAACTGGGTTAGTGTCCCCATAGAGTGACCTTTTGGATTTGTTTGATTGCCTCCTTGATGTATTGTTTTCACTTAAGTTTTTATTATAAGCACCTTTTGATGATCATTGGATAAGTTATAACATTAGGGATTGAAAAATTGTGATTTTCTAATTCTGCCATTCTTTTTACATTTGTTACTGAAATTTTTCTGTGACGAGAGATCTTAATTGTCTTAGGGCTGCTTAGAAAACATTGTTCTGATTCTCAACATTTTCTGTGATTCCCCCCCCCCC